CACTGCTAAATTAGGGACGGCTAGCGCAGATAGCCTTAGTGTAGCTTTGCGCGAAATTCAAAAACAAAAAACAAATACTCATATTTTTGTGGTGAATCTCAGAGATTAAATAGATATTAACGATTTGACATAAAACTCATAATACCACACCGATTAACACACGTCATTCTTTCCTGTTTTTATACATTATGAAAATATGCCATGTAACATAAATAGATCTTGTGAAGAAACAACGACTTTCGTACGAGCTTTGATAATATTTTATGTCTATTCGTTAGTTAAATGGCCTAGTATTTTAGGCATTCGACTCCTCGTTTCACTACACATGCTGTCCTCTTCAGCCGTTGGGGCGTTATAATGTGACGGTCAATCCAACTATTAGTTGCTAAAAGAGTAGCCCAAGAGTTGGCGGTTGGCGGTGATGACTAGCTGCCTTCCCTCTAGTCTTTCACTGTTAATTAGGGACGGCTAGCGCAGATGGTCCTCGCGCAGCTTTGCGCGAAATTCTAAAAAACAAGCAAACTGTCTTGTTATAGTGGCGACATCTTTCAACTACTGAGATTAATTTTACAGATTATTCTGTAGTGAAGACAGCAACAAAAGAAGTATAGTAGGAGAAAATATGCAAATAAACTTATTGAATTATCTTTCTTTTTATCACATGACTTGGGAGATAGAATTTGATCAACTAAAGAAGGAAACCTTTAAATATTTACACTATCAAATGTATATTCATACTTTCAAAATCGTGTACAGTTTTCAGGCAGTTTTTACTATTTTATTCTTGTAGCAAATTAGATCTTCAAGTTAAAAAACTTCAATCCATGTGATTAAACTTTTATTCATACATATTTCTAAACATATAAATTGATTTTATCTTTTTCCTATTTTTGCTTGAGTCAATAACATTTTCACTTCACAGTTCACGGCTATTTGTTGTCTTTGTGAAAAGCAGGATAACTCACTTCGAGTTTAATAAGTTTGCTGATTAGTAAAAGGTTTTGAAGTGGCTGAGACACCTCATAGTTCGGTTGTGGATCGGATCTACTTTCATAACTAATTGTACACATATACATATTGAGTGGACTTCTTTGTTTGTTTGTAATTAAGCAAAAAGCTACACAATAGGCTACCTCTGCACGGGTATCGAAATCCGGATTCTAGCGTGGTAAGTTCGCAGACATACCGCTGTGCTACTGGGGTGAATATGGAGGGGGAGGCAATAGCCAAATATACTCTATCAAGCACAAAAACTTTTACAAGTTATCAGAAAAATTATTTCTTACGTCTTCATTACTTTAAACAAATACAGTAAGGCTTAAAGCTTTCTGATAAATAAACTATGCTCGTAACAGGACAATAAGTTATACGGTAATCACTAAATTTAGTATTTTTTTTTTTGCCATAAGCAGCAATTTAAAAGATAGTGGAACTTAAAATTTTCTAGATTTGGGTGTTGGGTTATATTTTTTGTTATATTTATTGACATTGACAACGACGAAGTGTTATATTTCGTGACGTGTAGTCTGATCATTTTCGCGCTCTAATTTGTCAGGATCTATGGCTTAAGCAAATTTTCAAAAGAAAAGCAGAAGCCGTTCTCACTTTCCAGCCTTAGTAGCCTAATCTTTGAATTGTAAATAAGTACATAATATTATATTAGTAAAAAAGTTTGAATCAAAATATATTCTACACCTTTTTCATTTCTCTAGCTGCTGTAGTTGTTTTATTTTGACACCATTCAAACTGTTACCTTTTTAGTGCCCCCCAGTGGCACAGCGGTATGCCTGCGGAATTACAACGCTAGAATCCGAGTTTCGATACCCGTGGTGGGCAGAGCACAGATAGCCCATTGTGCTAAACGGAAACAACTTTCTGCTACAGTGATAACAGCTTGTAAAACGTTTTTATGCTGCTACATTTACTTCATTCAAAGTTTTCTAGAATAGGCGACCAACTGTAAAATGTTACTTATAGCTTTGGTTGGCGATTTCTGCGTTTATTTAGAAAACGAAAAGTAACACGAGTAAGTAAGCTTACGGCACTTTGCTGTTATTGTCATTTTACCGTAGTTGTTTTAAGGCTTTAACAAATTACGTTACAACCCCTAAAAAATTAACGTGTCAGTTCAATAAAAAATATTTTATGTTGTATACATGTATTCATAATGATGTTATGATTCAAGTATAAAAAAAATCTAAACGTTTTCACTACATAAAATCATGCATGTTGTATAACTTGTCACAAGGTGAAATGTAAAGGATCCTGTTTTACCATTAGAACTTGTAATATTTTGCACCGAAGATTGTTTTAAAGCCAATCTCCTTTGTCATCTGAAAAGAAAAAAAATCTAAAAATTTGGTGTCGTCATTGTTTTTTTGAAGACGGAAAATTCAAAGAAACTGTATATGAAGTTAAAGAATTAATAAATATGTCTTTCACCGAACCCTAAAAATTTTGTTTCCTTATTAAGCATATAATTATAAAATATTGTCTATTTTGAAAGTATTACTCTACCATAGTTGCTTTTTGTAAGATTTTTAGAATGACAAATTTGTCATCATGTTAAGGACTTATTAAGGTGTGTATGTAACAATGATAATGGTTTCTAAAGGGTGCTATCTGGAAAGTGGTCCTTATCGTGTTGGAAAACTTATGTTTTTAAAATAAACTGGCCATTGTAATAGTTATTTTATATATGTTTACGTAATGTTTTTATAGAAGGATGCGTGCTATACATTCTTATAATCATGATGATGTTTTAGAGAGGTATAAACTATACATTCTTATAATCATGATGATGTTTTAGAGAGGTATAAACTATACATTCTTATAATCATGATGATGTTTTAGAGTGGTATAAACTATACATTCTTATAATCATGATGATGTTTTAGAGTGGTATAAACTATACATTATTGCTATGATAGTGTTTTAGAGAGGTATAAACTATACATTCTTATAATCATGATGATGTTTTAGAGAGGTATAAACTATACATTCTTATAATCATGATGATGTTTTAGAGAGGTATAAACTATACATTATTGCTATGATAGTGTTTTAGAGAAGTATAAACTATACATTCTTATAATCATGATGATGTTTTAGACAGGTATAAACTATACATTATTGTTCTTATTATGATATTTTGGAGTTGTATATATTATACATTTTTGTTATTGTGACGGTGTTTTAAAGGGTAACAGGGTGCGAATCGGGGCTTTGCAGAATATTATTCTGAACTTTAGAAATACAATATAACAGGTATAACATCTTCAAATTACCACAACAAAATCGATACGTACTGTACGGTCGTGGAAAGCATTTAATGAGCTACCGATTTCTCTTGCAGGTCGTTGCAGTGTGCTCGCCTGAGGGTCCATCAAAATCTGGTCGTTGCCTTGATCATTCACTCTGTTATGTTGGTAGTAATTTCCTTGCCCATTATCGGGAGAGATACTATTCCTTCGTATCGTGAAGTAGTAAGTGTAGATCAGCAAAACCATTATTTTGAAACAAGAGAATCAGACAGTTATTATGCAGATTTAACCAGCAGAAATTACATTATGAATACGCAGTGTAGCTGTAGAACAATGTATTTTCATCGGTTCCTACCTTAGTGATCTATGAATTTATAGTTCCTCTCGTGCCAGTGTATTCATTAGCACATAAGGTTTGAAACGTATCTGTTATTAAGTTGTTGTTTTTGTTTCGACATAGCGAGTTACAACAGTTGTTTTAACTGAAAGATTGATGTTTGATGATTAGTGTTTGATGATTGATGTTTGATGACTGATGTTTATTATTAAGCATAAAGCTACACAAAGGGCTATATGTGGTTTGCCCACCGCGGATATCGAAACCCGGTTTCTAGCGGTATAAGGTTACCGGAAAGTTTATTGGAAAGGTTACTACTTATGTAGATGAGGATAAGAGTGTAGATTTGGTGTATCTGGATTTTGAGAAAGCATTTGACAAGGTGCCACATAAAAGACTTGTAAAAAATCATCTCTATAGATGTAGGGGATAAGTTAGCAAATTGGATGGAAGGAGTGGCTGGATAGAAGAAAGCAGAGGGT